TTTTAACCCAGCGCAGAGTGCACCCATCCAAGCCGTGAGCAGCCAGCTTCTCCAGGAGAATGCTGTGGGAGACTGTGTCAAAGGCCTTACTAAAGTCCAAGTAGACAACATCCACAGCCTTCCCCTCATCCACTAAGCGGGTCACCTTGTCATAGAAGGAGACCAGGTTAGTGAAGCAGGACCTCCCTTTCATAAACCCATGCTGGCTGGGCCTGATCCCTCGGTTGTCCCGCACTTGCTGCATAATGACACTCAAGATGACCTGCTCCATGACCTTCCCCGGCACCGAGGTCAGGCTGACAGGCCTGTAGTTCCCTGGATCCTCTTTCCGACCCTTCTTGTAGAGGGGCGTCACGTTTGCTAGCTTCCAGTCATCTGGGACCTCCCCGGTTGACCAGGACTGCTGATAAATAATGGAGAGTGGCTTGGCCAGCTCCTCTGCCAGCTCCGTTAGTATCCTGGGGTGGATCACATCTGGCCCCATGGACTTGTGCGCATCCAGGTGGACGAGCAGGTCAGTGACTGCCATCTCTTCGACAACTGGGACTTCACTCTGCATCCTATCTCCATCCTATGAAGTTGTATTCAGTAGTGATGATCATAAAGGCATCTTCAAAGAAAAGAAAAACTCAGCTGGAACTTTAAGTTACTGTTGTGCAAACAGGAAAAAGTCATCTGTGAAGGTCTTGTAAGGTGCTTCTGTCTATTTTAAAACTATACCAATAAGTTTATTGTTGATTCTGCTAAAATTAACATCTGAATATGGGTTTTTTTTCTAGCTGTGCTTACTGATTTTTCAGTTCTGATTTGAAAACTTGCTGAATCTTCTAAAAAAACCTATTTTTAGTCTTGATGTGGAAAAGTTTTGGAAGGCTTCTAATACAAACCTACAATTAACTTTGTCAGCCTCTGGATGTCAGTGTTGTTTCAGATTAATAGAGCTTCTCGCAGTGTGAGGTTTTTTTAGTTTGGTTTGGTTTTTATCAGATTTCCTCAGGGAAGAGAAATAGCCACTGAACTTTAAACAAAGCAATTTAGCAAGAATACTAATAAGGAATGTTTTGAATAGAATAAACGTAATAAATAATTGCATATAGTACCATTCCGAGTTTAAAACAAAGTCTTCAATTGTGCTCAAGTAGTGGACTGAATAAGCAAATGTAAGTCAGGTGGTCCTTTGTGTAAAGGTCAATGACAAAACCCCTTCTGTTTTCTGCTTTGTTTTATATTCAACTAGTTCTGATACCTGCTTTACTTCTGACATGTTCCAAACTGGATTTTTTTTTTTTTTTTTTGCAATCTAACCTTATCTTTGTGAAAACAAAAGAAAAAAGAAACTATTTCTACTCTGTTTTCCTAAAATAACTGAAGAATATAACTTGGTAAATCTTTTTTCAGATATTAAAGTGCCAGCAGCTAAGTATTTGTGTATGTGGATATATGTACTTCATGTCGGAGCACAAGGAAAAGGCATAATCAGTGTCTCAGCACTTTTTTTCAGAACACTGATCATGAACCTTGCCAAAGCTACATGATGTTTTAATTTTTATCTTTAATTTTTTGGAGGTGGAGATTTTGAAGTCTCCCTAGAAATCTTTCCAGCACTTTTCCAGATACAGACAACCCTCAAAGGCCAAACACATTATGACGTTTATTAGACAGACATGGTCTAGATTCTACTTGTTTGGTAAACACAAGCAATTTACTCTTGTACAACACAATATTCTTCCCCATAATCATTATGCTGAAGGAAGGACTTCTTTTTGAGTGTTTGGCATCTATTGGGCTGGAATTGAGAAAATAGTTGGATAATGGACAGAATTTTACATGACCCTCTATAGGGAGTGAGGGGAATCCATAACCGTTGCTACAGATTAGTTGAACTGAAGAGTGAAATGCTATGGTTAACAAGTAGATTAATGCTCTTTGCATATCCTCATTATTTGTACATGAAATCACTGTGATTCATATCATTGTCAAGCCCTGGTAATTCTCTGTGTTTTACACCAGTCTCTTAGAAGCCAGAATACATTTGCTCAATGTAACCTCATATTACAGTAAAGTTGAAATTCTGGAGACCTTTTAACAATGTCAGTTAAAACTACCCTGAATTTTGTATGTTAATCCTTTGAATGAGAGTTCAAATGTATATGAGAAGCTTTATCTGTGTCATTGTACGTGGATGACCTTTGTTTTCTAACCTTTTGGGAAGCCATTTCAAATATCTGTGCTTCTGTTTTCTTTTTTTTTTTTTTTACTAAAGTTAAGTTCATTGAGGAGGTTTCATGTTGTTGTGCATTTTTTCATCACCAGTAATAATGCAATTTTATTGATTTTATTTTCTTCTGTAGTTACCTCTGCAATGCAAGTAACAAATACATGCAATAAATATTTTACAATCCAGTGTCGTAATTACTTGTGATAAAGTCTTTGAAACATCTTAGTTATAGTTAGTGGTAGATCACACAGTTGTAGAATATATTTATTTTAAAACGGTTTGCTCACTTTTTTAAATTGTTGTTCATGAGCTGATTAAATCATATATTTTTATTGAACTATTTCCAAATAACTGTTCTCTGTGTGTTAAATTAATACATTTGCCACACTTCCTCTGAATTGGTGAAATGTCAGAAAGATTCCGTAATCAGTTCTGCAGTCCATCCTACAGAGGCTGAAGGCAGGTTATCCCGTGATTTATCAGAAATTTCAAAGAACTTTTTCTTGTCACTGGAATTGGAATATCTCAAGGTTCTAGCTGTAATATGTTAAATTTCTGCTGTGTTCCTAGCATGGCCCTGATGTAGTAGCACTCAAATTAGCATGAAGTTTAGTGTTTCTGCATTTCTTACTTCATGTCAATTATGATGTGGTTGAATAACTACTTTTTCATAAACTGCTGGTTAAAAATTAATAGATTTTTTTGCCACTTAAATGCTGAAAAAATAGTTACTTAGGAGCGATTGCAAAAAGTCAGTTTATTCTTTTTTTCGCTCCAAGAAAATTGCTAGTAAAATCATAGGAGAAATTATATGAAAGTGATACTAACTAAATATAATGTCATAATTACAGTGATAACTATGAGGAAGATATTAAGGCATCTGCTCTGATAAATGTCCATCTTTGATTCTTTATTGAGTCTGTTGTTAAGTAAGAGTGAGAAGGTTATGAACCACTTTTTCAGTTTTCCGTAGTGGGTCTCAATTTTTATTGAAGGTCCTGAAATCAACACCTAATTAGCCAAAAAATGCAAGTTGTTCAATTTGTTCTTGATTACTGTTTAAAAAACATGTTTTTCTGTTTTTAATAGGTGGAACACTAAAAGAAGTCTGGAAGCTTACAAAAAGATTTAAATGTGTTATTCCTGTGAGATCCACAGAAGATGACCTTGAGTTATTAGATCTTTCAGCTCCTTTTCTTTTACAAGGGAACATAAAATATTATGGGTAGGTTAAAAGTATTTGTTGATATTTTAATAGTTGCAGTAATAGATAGATATCATTTTCTTCAGTAATTCAAACCACAGCGCTCAAGGGATAACTTACCCAAAGATTCTTTGATGCAAAATGCATAACATGATCAGCAGTACTGAGATCAGGGATGAAATGCCATACTACTATCTCCTATCAAAGGGCTCAACTGCAGTTGGGCTTTATCTTGCTCTATAAATCCTATGCCCTTAATTACACCGCACCCCAGGTTCAGTCTTGCCTGTGGTGTGTGGGTAGGGCAGTATACTACAGAGACAGAAATGCACATACGACACTCTTTGGGTTGCAAAAATGGCTAAATCTTCCTCTTTTACTCCAGATCTTCCATTTTCTGGCCATAAAAATACCATTTTCTAGTCTCGTTAGACTAAAGTCAAAACATATTTTGCTTTAAAACTGTATTAAACCTATTTGTGGATGTCAGTCACTGTAGAGAAATCTTCAATGGGTTTCTGAATTCCACAGTTCAAGGCTGTGAAATACAGTACACACATCTAGGTCTCGTATCTGTGCTATGCCATGCAATATCGTGTTCCTGCTCAATGAGAGCTAGCAGCAGTATGTTCTCCCAGTACTGCACAGCAGCATGCAGTTACTGAGCTCAGAAGTACCAGTCTACTTCATACAAGCTATCAAGTCCTCCCTCTCAGCAGTCCTAAGAAGTTCAAGAAGAGCGCTGTGTTGCACTACTTCAGTCCTGTAGGCAGTAAAAAAAATTCTGTGCAGAAATATTGCATGTTTCTTATGAACCCTAAAGTTTCCCATAAGGACCTGATAAAATGAATACAGAAAATGATTTCTTTTTTTCATATATTGTTTTGACCTTTCCAGATATGGCTGTCCACAGCTTTTTTAAATAAAGGCAATATATGGGTATTCCTGCTAGGACTGGATCTTCACCAGTACAAAGTATTTCCTCGTACACTTTCATAATCCATATATTTCCCCAGCTATGCACAACTCACCTTCAGACATCATTCTCTGTTTAAATGGCTGTATTGTAAAAGCCAACGCTCTATAAGATATTCCATGACTGTTTATAGGATATTTAGGAAGGAACCTCATAAGGATGTTGACATTTCAGAGCTTTGTTCCATGCACTGTTTTTATCAGTAGCATATACTTAGCAAAGTCTAAAATTAAAGATTCTGTACACTAGAATGAAAAGCAAAGTTATTTTTGCTGTAGGAATGAGCTTGAATACCTGTATAAATATTTATATGTGTGTGCATATGCATGTATATTCATATCTATATATATAAAAATAAACACACACACACTTCCATATAAAAACCAAAATTCACAGCTAAGTTACTTTATTGGAGTTTGGGTTGTTTTTTAAAGGAGAAAAGTAACTTCATTGAGCTTGGCTTTATATCACTTGAGCAGAACTAGTGCTATTGATTTTTATTACATGTTTTGCTTGTAATTCTAAAAGATAATGTCTGTTTTAAGTTCTAATTGTAATATACTAGCACAGAAGCTTAATTTGGAAAAAATAGTTGTTCTCTAATTTTATTTCTTGAGGCAAATGAGAACAACTTTCAAAACAGTTCAATATTTTCGTCCACTTGCAGCATTTGCTTACTATGTCACATGTAAAATTTATAATTACCGGTGTAAATACACCAGTAACAAAAGAGGTTGTTTTAATAACTCATAGTTAATATTTTTTAACACAGGTAAAGCCAAATTTCTCCTCTAACCCTGTTGTGTTTTTAGAGCATGCTACAAGTTCAGATTCGTTCTTGCTTTCATAAAGTGAGATGTTCTTTGTATTGCTAAACAACAAAGTAGTGACATATGAGTATGTTTAGCAGTGACATATGAATATATGTTTAGCAATGTAGTGATCTTAGAATCATAGAATGGTTTGGGCTGGAAGGGACCTTCAAAGATCATCTACTCCACCCCCCCCCTGCCATAAGCAGAGACACCTTCCACTAGATCAGGTTGCTCAAAGCCCCATCCAACCTGATCTTGAACACTTCCAGGGATGGGGTATCCACAGCTTCTCTGGGCAACCTGTTCCAGTGCTTCACTACCCTCATCATATAGAATTTCTTCCTTCTGTACAATCTAAATCGACCCTCTTTCAGTTTAAAACCACTGCCCCTTGTCCTGTCACTACAGGCCTTGGTAAAAAATTCTCTCACTGTTTTTCCTGTAAGCCCCCTTTATATATTGAAAGGCTGCAATAAGGTCTCCCTGGAGCCTTCTCTTCTCCAGGCTGAACAACTCCAGGTGTCTCAGCCTTGAATTAGAGTTTTCCTCCTTTCTATTCACTGAGGTGGTCTTTTCCAGACCAAAATTATTTATTTCTTCTCAGGGATAACTCAAAAGCAGCATTAAGGGTTTTGATGTGGTCTAAAGCTTGTGTGTGTAGTAAAATAATTATTTTAAACATCAATAAATACTTTTGCACTCGCACTGGGTAAGGAAATAAGATTTTTTTTTTTTTTTTTTTTCTGTGCAGAAAGCTTCTAGTATAAATAAATCAGTGTTTGGTTAGTCTCAGTATCTTGTTTTAAATGCTAGGTGCAAGCAGTGTTCAACTCCAAAGCCTATCAAGAGTCTAAGTTCCATTGCAGCAGAACAACGACCATCATGGGAACCAACTGAAATAGCACAAGGTCAGCTGACACGATATTGTCCTGAAATACTACTGTGCCTTGATTCTGAAGTGTTTGTATGAAATAGTTTGGTTTCTGGGTTGCAGTTTCATACAGAAAGCACGTAATTTATGGTTATGCTTGAGTATAAAGCTGTAAAATTTATTCACCTTTTACCAGTTGAAATAACATATTTACTTTTGAAACTATTACAGTATGAACTAAAGGATTTTATATGTTGAATAGTTTCTTCTACCATAGGTGTCCACTAGTAACATCTATCATAGTATAGACGTGATGAATTTTTGGTTGCAGATGTCATTTTTAAACTGCGTACATGCTTGTAGTCCTAGAAGTTAGTCTCGCTTTTCCTTTTGGAGATATAGTTCTTCTGACCTGAACTAAAGAGAGTGTTATTTAATGACTAGTACAAGTTAGACTTTTATCTTCTGTAAGCCTTATCAATGCTAAGCATATTCCAGAGAGTCTGCCCGAAATAATATTCAAATGAAAGAAATTATACCATAACATATATGTGCATTCCATGCTTTGTGTGTTCCTTGTGTTAATTTATGTAGTCAACACGTTCAAATGTTGGAGGTAAAATGGAGCTTAAAACTTCACAACACATTAAGGAAAAAGAATATTTTCATGTTGATCAATTAATGTTCTAACTTATGAAGTTGGAATAACTAACAGTATCTAAACTTGGTAAAGACTTTATAAAAGAAAAAAAAACTACTCGAGCAGTACAGTGGTTCTTGTAAATAAACTGTCATAATTATGTTCTATTAAATAAATGTGAAGTAATATATAACTGGCAGTGTTACAGCACCTGTGATTGACATTTAATTCTCAAAATGAAAACAATATTCGTTAAATGCTTTCTGGCATTTAAACTATTTTATGTATATTATTCTTTTATCTGTATTGTCAGACTAAATGATAACCTGCAAGTATATCAGATCACTTGAGCGTAAAATGACGAGCCAATTTAAGTAGATGTACCCAGAAAAGACTGATGCAGAGTTGCAGTAACTTTGTATGTTTAAAAGATATTTTATCTTTGCAGCATAACAGTTACTGCTGCCACTGAGAGAATGACTACAGTCATTTACTTATGCTGGAATATTTTCAGAACTGCCAGCAAAGTTTTTCTGAATAAGACTTTGCCTGGTAGCTTTTACTACATTATATGAAACAAATTGTTTTCCTCAGAAGATATGTTTTCAGGTAGAATGCTATGTTATCACTGAATTAAAAGCAAGTCTCCTTTAATCTTCCATGGATAAAAGAATAGGAGTAGGAGCATCCTACCAAGGATGGATCTAAGATCTAAGCAAATATTAGGATTTCTTTTACTAGGATGAGAATAAGTACTTAAAAATCTTTCTGCATTTTTATAGACTCATCTATTAAAGTGTTTCTAGGCAAATTGCAATGCATTTTCAAAATATGAACCACATTTTGCTGTTCAGGGCCTCTGTTTTTTGGCCTGTCAATTTATACTTCTAATGATGGTATTCAAAGTCAGTTACTATTAAAGGAGGGATATTGTCATCTTGAGTTGTTATGGTTTGTCTTGCATATTTACTCTAGGAAACATTTTTTTTCTTCAGTTTTAGGTATTGAGCTGCTCCAATATGTTTTTATTATGAAGTTTACACTGGTTGATGGAACAGGAGCACTAAATGCATACCTTTTTGATTATGTAAGTAAATCTAGGTAAAGGTAGACTTTACAGATTATGTGGGTTTGGATTTTATTTGTTTTTAAATAGCAAATATATGTACAGAAGTATTCATTCTGTTACCTGCAGTGTTTTGTGGGGACAGTTACAAGTGCTGTAATGTTATTAATACTGTCCATCAATGAAGATGCACAGAAAGTAATTTTTGGTAATTTTTCAGTAAAATACCAGAGTATAGAGTATCAAAGCATAAAGACAAAATTGAAGCTTGTAGGTAGATTATTTGGTATTTCCGTAGACTTTTATACATTTCCATGGCTCAATTTCTCTTTTATTGGCAACGTTAAATTATGCAGCCTGAATGCTGTGTGAATGATGGGAGTGTTTCAGGATTTATGCAGGTAACTTCTGGATTAGTTCAAACTCTGATGACCTCCTTTTTTAACTCTCAGTAGAATCTATCCATTCAGTAATTCTTGATTTTTGTTTCATATGACTATGAGGTAGAAGAGGCCTTTCTTCCCCTGAACCTAGGCAGGACTCAGCTATAGCTATACAGATATTTGTCTTTGATTTCAGAAGCAGTTTATTCAACTACTTTGCTAACCTTAGAATTATATTCCTGCTACCTGAGTCACTGAAGAACATATGGTTTTCTTGTCACTACCCACTGTGTAATTTTACCTTCTGCAGGCTAAGAAACCATCATTCATTCTATCTTCTTCCATATAAGAGTTTTTTTCATATCAGAGGTTTTTTTTTTCTTCCATATCAGAGGTCTTTGAAAACTCTTGACCATCCTCACTGTTGTTCTTCTGGACTCTTCCCAGGTGGCCCACATCTTCCTCGAAGTGCTTGAAACAGTACTGTAACATGAGGCATTGCCAGATAATGCTTCTATGTGTATAAACCAGTATGGTGATCACTTAATTTCTTGCTTACTGATTCATGGTATAATCCCTTCATCTCTGACTAGAACCTCGGCTTTAAGAAATTATTCCTCATTCTTTGTTTGAGCATTTGATTTGGCTTGCTTAAAAGCAGTATTTTATACATGTATCAGGTGGAAAAAGGGGGGGTGGGGGTGGGTTTTCTTTGTTCTACTACGTCTCAAGTTTGTCAAAAATTAATCCTAATTCTTTAGTCCTGTATACTTGCAGTTCCCCCAGCTTGGTTTTGTCTGTAAACATAGTGGGCCTATTTGCATGTCACTAATGAAAAATCTCAAAATCACCAGTCTTAGGACAATCCCCTGCAGAATCCACTTTGGACATCTCCCATGTTGACAGTAAACTGCTGATTACTCTTCAGGATTTTTTTTTTATTATTTCTTTCCTTTTTACTCTAATTCATAAATTTTATTATTAGATCAGCAGTTTGATGCACAAAGACAGTTTGAGTAAGATTTTTTTTTGTGATGCTGAAGGTGGAGGATTTCTGACTGACAAGAGCTGGTCATTGCTTCCTGCATCTCCAATTTAGGGCTGAAGATGAATTGTATATGTCTAGCATCCTCCGTATTTAACTTACTCCTTTACATGTATTTTTGTGTGCAGTAGAAATCTCTGTTGCTATGTACTTTGTGGGTTTTTTCCTTTTGTTTTATCTTTTGGGCTTTTTTGTTTGTTTTCTTTTGCTTTGTTTTTTACATACACATGCACACGCCCATTTTAGTTACTACCCTAAACTTTGAGATGGTATGTCAATCATTTTGAAAAGGGAAAATAATAAAAAAGTGAGAAGAACTTGGTAACGAAAAGAGTTATAATCTAAAATAGGTTAGTATTACATTGTACCTTTTGTCCTTCTATAAGTGCATTTGTGTGTGTTTTTTTATTCCAGCAGTTCATAGCTGGGAATACCAGAATCTCACAATACACATTTGGAGCAATCTATCTATCCAAGTGGAAAATAGTGTAGTGGCACTTCAGAGTTATAACTTTGTCCAAAATGGGACAGAGAAACAATTTAGTGGGAATTTTTTTCTCCACAGCAGTGCTATTCAATGTGTGTATATCTGCATATTTTCCACCATTGTCCTAAAAGACTTTGAATGGGACTTTGAAGGGAATACTCTTCCTTGTTTAATTTTAAGACTGTAAGTAAAAATAATATTGGAAAAAATGTAAGTGTATTTTCTTAAAATACACAGTGTATTAGCAGCAAAGGAGGTCAAAGACTGCAATCCCTATTTCAGCTAGTCATCTTTTCTTTCAGCTGTCCTTGTTCCGTTTTATATCGAGAAACTAAGCTGCAAAAGGAAGGTGGGGGAAAAGATTTTAAACCATCTCTTGATGCAGAATTCCAAAAATCTCTACTTCAGGGTAGCTCAGATTCTGCTCAGTACTACAGCTTAGCTGCACGAAAAAAACCCACAATTTCTTCTTTACTTCAAAGACAAGCCAATACCTTCCAAGCCTAAACTCAGGTCCTTCAGCACCACCTGAGAAGGAACTGGGCTACTCTGAAGTGCAACTTTACACTAGCTTCCAGTCACGCTTCTGTAGGAACGCTCTCAGTTCTTTCTTTCCTCTCCTTTTTATAGGAAAAGTCACTGAAGGAAAAAAATCAAAAGGTCAAAAGAAGAATTGGAAGAGTGAGAGGAAAAAGTAGTTATCTGTGTCAATTTTGCTGCTGGATTATCTGTTAACTTCTGATCACTTCCATTAAACGTGTCATACAAAAATTATACAAAGGCAGATTATTCTGTATTTGTATATTTTAACAAAAAGGAGAAATAAGCTCATTTTGAGAAAGTATAAGATGAGCCTTTAGAGATACAAAATCATGGAACAAACTTGGAAAGAATAAAACAGGAGTTTTGTCAGTCATGTTTACTGTATATGGTTTAAAAATACACAGAAAAAAGTTTATTTAACATTTCACAGTGTAAGCCTTTCTCCATAGTTTCTAAAACTGTCAAAAAATGAAACTCAAACTAAGGGAGTTCCACTTGTATGAAGCCAGGTTGCAGTGCCCCCTTGTTTTCAAGTGACTTTGTTCCTCTCAAAATGTTCTGCTCACTGCAGTGAGGGACTGTTGAGGAGGACTGACCATCCTCTCCGGCCATAACATTGTCTGGTTATGGAGGTTTATGAGGAATATCTGCCAGTTGTATATACAGACCTACATCTGTGCTTTCTGGATGGCTGCAGTCCCTTGAATACTCAGGGGTACTGAAATACAGACTATTAATTTTTTCAGACAGTTTGGGTTTTTTCTGTATCTGAACAGTTTTAGAAATAATATTGTTCTTCTGTTGTATTACCTGTCTGGATAATTTTAAGTTCCTTAAATGATAAAAGAACATGCAGTCAGGGTTCTGGCTAATGATTTCTTACCCCTCTTCCCATGCCTCATACTTTTCTCTTCTCTTCCAGGAAAAGTTTTTCCAAATTCCTGCTTCCGAAATCTTAACCAATAATTTTCTTCAGCAAAAGATGCAGATGACCATGAACACGCTCTGTCCTCCAGGAAGAAAATTAGGTCAGCTTGTCATCATTTTAAAAGGGGGATGGGAAGGGAAGGGGTCTTTCAATCTGCTATTGCATATGCAAAGTCTTAGAATTCAACTTATACATGGGCAAAACTCAGAACAGAGAAAAGCAGGAATCTGTAAGGAGAGTTCCAATTAATTTGCTTTGATAAATTTCTTTAATAGTAGAACTCCCTTTTGAGAAACAAAAGTAATGGTTCAGTAAATTCTCATGTAGCATGCAGTGATGTGTGAATACAGTCATGTCTATGCAGGCACTAACATTTGTATTCATATGGAAGTTAACCAGAACACCCTCATACTGAATGTCACAGCACATTAGGGAAAACTGAAAGGGAATTCAACATATGGCACATACTTTGGGTGAGATTCTGCTTTTGAATGCACGTGCTGATTTAGAGCATCCCTTGCTACAGGAAACGCCCATGGAAATTGAGCAAAACCTTAATCCAAATCCAGTCACAGAGGTTTTTGTGCAGTATTTCTGTTGTGGCAGAAAGTAGCTGTGCCTAAACTACACATGTCCAAGGTAGCTGTATGTCTCTGCTGCAGCTCCGACCTCCGGAGCGTACTCCCTCTAAGTACATGGCAGTCAGTGACCACCATAACCACCCTGGAGTCTTTACCATAATTATAAATAAAGTGGCCCCATTGTAAAGGGTGTAAAGGATGTTCCCTTTGAGACCAATGAAATTGTCTCATGGAGACACATGGAGATGAGATTTTCTTATTGGAAAGTCTTTATATGTGCTATACTGTGCTACAGCTACTGGTACCAAGCATTTTGGGGGGGTGCTGGGGCAGGGAGGGCAAGGCTTGGAAGATTGTCACTGAACACCACTTCAGATAGTGTGGGAAATTTTAAGATACGAATTGGAATTTCCAAATTAGTAATTCATTTTTCTTCCTATTAACTATTGTATACATTTAGATATCCTAGTTAAGATCCTGCTTAAGTTATACTTCTCTCCTATAAAAGTTAGAAATGAATATTAAATAATAATTTGGGTTTTGTTTGTAGATGATTTGCCATGGCTGGAATGCTTCATCAAGTCCTATAATGTCAGAGATGCGATGAAACATCAAGTTTATTACCAAATTTTTGACACTACAGTTGCTGAAGATGTTGTATAGTGATGTGTTGCTAATAGGAAGTAATCCAGTAAGAATCCAATTTTGGGGGTTTTCTTTCTTAGGAATTCAGCCCGTATGTATGAAGTTTTAGTTTGTATATTAATGTGAATTATGCTTTGATGTATTTACTACTTTCCTGGCATACAGCCTTGTGGTCTGAGTGCAAGTAGAGGTGCTAAGCTTTTCACTGGAGGCTGCTTGGCTCAGGCTGATGGAAGCAATCTAGTATCCATCTCTCCTTCAAAAAGGCAGTGATGAGGTTACTCTAAACTGGTGAGTTTTGCTTAGAAATATAGTCAGAATTATGCTGCTTTGTTAATTTCTGTATTAAAATAATTTTCCCTATCTCTCAGCAGAGATAGGGAAAAGGAGGTCATCAGTAAACTTTGTCAGACTACTTTATGCAAGCATATATTATTGTTCTCAGAAAGCCAGTTTGATAGAGGTTGGCCATTTTTAGAGATTTCTTTGATTTTGCACTGATATGTACATGTAGACAGAACTCTTCCTGTTAATCATACTAAGGTAACTGCTATGTGTACCAGTTACTATAGATTTTCATGGAGTTCTGAATGTGAGCATGTAATGATTATCACTAAAGTTAAAGTCAAGCCATGAAAGTAAGGTAGTGTAAAATTGTAAAATAAATATTGACATTTGCTAGATCATAATGATTTATAAGGTGGCCCAATTGGGTACAAAAGTTGTTAGCACGCTTATTAGCTGGGTCTGTGTTTTCAAAGACTCTCATGTATCTGGCTAAATGTACTGTCGGATTACACTGCCCCGATCTGCCTTTTCTGTCTTACGTAATCAGATTGTATGACTAAATTTAGAGATACAGAACTGAACTGGTGGTATCATGGCTTGAAAATACTGCTGGACTAGAAGAATTACACGGTGGTCTTATTTTGCATTCAGAAGTACGTAGGACAAATTCAAGACATATTTCTCCAACGATAATTAATGTAGAAATTCCTGTCAAATCAAATGCTTTCCATCAGAGCAAAATTACTTAATATTTACAACAGCTGTTTTTTAAGGGAGTTCAGAAGCAAGATGGAATACTTGTAAGTAGATTATTATTTTGATAGTAGATGACATTTTATTTTTTAATTTTTCAGGGCTGTTTAGTAGATTATGCAATTTGTCATTTACAATTTCATCTAAATATTGTCTGATAATTTTCTGGTACTCTAAAAAATTATGCTGAGTTTGTATGTCATAAACCAGGAAACTATGTTCTGTATTGATTGGTGCATAGGAAGAACCAATAGTAGAAGTGGTTTGTGGATATTTCCTTTAAAAAATAGGGAAAAAAACCCTTTGGAATTGAACAAGCAGTTTACCAAAGAGCAGTACTGGCTTATGAAAGCTTGCCTGAGTCCGTGAATAAACACATAAGCGAAAAATAGTCATAGCAAGTTATTAAATGGATATTATAAAGCTTTACACACTGGCCATATCCAAGTGATTTCAGAAGTTAGGGGTTAAATTGAAGGCAATCTTTTTTACTTTTCTTGTACATAGTGTATGAAAACACTGGAAGGAAATGTTTTTATTTTTACATCTTTGTTAACAACTCTGATAGATATTGATATTCTATATTTTTTCTAAATAAGTCTTCATAATGTAATAGATAAGACTATGTTTTGAACTTCAGTGTAAACTAAATCAATTTCACCATATCCCCTGTCTGAGATCCCTGCCAGAAAACTCTGCATATACATCTCTTGATTTTTCCACTGTATAATATTGTATTAAAATGTTTAATAAAGATTTTTCCACATATTGAGGGTTTTTTGTATTTGACTCTTAGTTCCGTGTTCATGAGACTGTGAAAACTTTGTCGTCAGTAGCCTTCATCCAAGAAAATGCTCCAAATGAATGTTTGTATAGTTTGTTAGATTGAAACATACATGGTTAATTCTCTTTCTAAATATAATTCATAGAAATAATTGTAATTAGTAGTGAAAAATTATGTATTTGACAACACTAAAGATCACCGTATAGAAAGGAATTAGTGCACAGACAGTTGAGAATGTTTGTGTCTCATTAGTAGCCTTTATATGGAGCAATGGAAGTCACTGGGATGGGACTCTGACCTTTAATTACTCATCCTGGTCAGTGCTGAGGCCTGTGAATAGCTGACTGATGGATGGAAATCTTGAGATTGCTGTGTCCTGAACTTAGAGCACCAACAGACTCCGGTTTCTGAAAGCTGAGCATCTCGGGCAGCAATGACTTCTAGCCATTGTGAGCGGTACACTCTGTCCCCTCCATGAACCCCTCCTTGTGAGTGAGCGTGTGCGCACACTTTGGATCATCATTCTCGTGTGTATTGACGTGCAATAACAATACCCCAACTGACACCCCGAGCCTGTTATGTGTTCAGTGTTACCGGAGCGTTGATTGATTTCAGTTTACCCCTCTTTCTCATTGGTTTCTGTTGTGTGGTTTTGGCTGTTTTGTGAAATAAAGTCGTCCGAGCTTGTCCTTCGTTTGGGTTAGTTTAGGTGTACTTCCATGACAACCATTACCAGCAACCTCCTTAACAGAAACAAAAGTCATGTTTCTCCTGGTCAGTTTTTTAACCAAGTATGTGATTTAAGTTTCTAAAACAGTAATAAAAGGTCAAATGTCTATTTTAATAGTTTACAAAAATTACTGAAATAGATCGTAATGTATTTAAAGGAACTCAGAAGTTGAACCAATAGTAGACCAGTTTAACGTTGATACACTCAGAACCAATGAAAACTCCAGGCGTGTCTTCCTGATGTCTCATCTTCTCCACCCGCATACATCCCAGCATGCTACTGGCTAACTGCATCAAAACATCAGCATCTTATTAGAAATGTGGGCTAAATGGTAAGTATGCATGGAATGTGAAGTATATAGCATACAGCAACATCACAGGCAAGGGCAAAGAATATCTGATTGTAAAAGAGGAGCTATGATGGAAAATAAAGTATAAAAGAATAATAAGGGAGCATGAGCCCATCCCACCCTCCAGTTTCACACGTGAGTGCATAAAAACGGTAAAACTGTAATTAAAAAAAAAAAAAGTTTTCAGAAAGAAAAACGAACAACAGGAAACAAAATAAACGTGGAATAGTATTTTCAGGAATGGCTGTATGATTGGGCTCCCTGAAGTCCTTGTTTTAAGGGGTTTTAAACATTTACGGTTGGAAGTCTCTAAAGTCAGTTGAATGTAAGCTCTTGGATGCTTCACACTCTGGAAACTCCAATTGGAAAGACAGCACGTAAATAAATAACTCATATTGCAGAAACAAGGAGGCGTTCCTGGTAGGTGACCTGCTGTTGAGTGGTGATTGAACTTTCTCGTCAGCTTTTGCTGTTATGGGATCCAGCGATTTACAGACAAATGCTTTGCTTAATAGTAGTCCTTTGGCTACTGCGCAGCAGGAAGTGGGATTGTAAAAAGACAGTAGAGCCCACAGGCTAACAAGCTGAGGTTTGCAACAGAAGGAAGAGAGTTGATTGTGTTAACAAGGATGAGTGCTTAGTTTTTCAATACCGCAGTGTTTTACTTCACAAGAATTTATTCACGTTTGGCCAAAGCCATTGCATTCATTCATGAAACTGGCAGGAAACTGGGGCACCGCAATAAGGGGCAAGACCAAATATTGAAATGCAGGTGTGAAAAAATTAAGCAAATGCATATGTTCAAGTTCTTCAGATGGAATGGGAACACTGCAGAAAATTTTCTTCAGTGGAGGAGAAAAAAATTCAAATAAGAATTTACTTCAAATAAGCATTATTCCAAGTGTACTGAACAGTGAATATTTAAAATTGGAAACAATGAGATGGAGAGTTAAGGGAAGAACCGTTTCAGAGGACACTAGCAAAGGCAAGAAGTGATAGCAGAGTCTTTATGAGACAGCTTGCTGCAGCTCCTGTTCACAGCATTTCCTATACATGAAATTCCCAGTAAGAACCTTAGTTTGTGGAAACAGCCGTCTGATGAAGGATTACCAGATCCAAAGTGCTTGAAAAATGTATAGCAGAATTATGTTATAATTAGTGCGTTCATATTTGTGGTAAAGCTATGGATGGACGTGACCCCAGAACAGTGCTATAATGTGGTTTTCCTTCTTGTTTCCTGCTACAACTCCGATATGTGCATACAGAGGTACCTCCATAAAATTGCTGCAATGTTATCGTTTGTCTGCATAAACCAAGCAAATTGAAAGTCCGGGAATAAATCTACATTTAGTAGATACTTGTTTTAATTTCAATTTTTGCAAGTAAACTAGGAAGAAATATGCTTAATGTGGAAATATGTGCCAGAGAGGAAAAAATGAATTTTTTTGTCTCATAACTGTTCTATTACATGCAAAGCTTTGAGCATGAATTTGTTCTGTACCTTCTCCTGTGTGTGTACAGCCTGTGGACTACCACTATTAAAAAAATAGTTTTGTGAAGTACAAACTACATCTTTATAACTGAGTCCGTATTTAACTGTCATTTTGAAGACTGGCTATCAGGTAACTTTGAATTATGGAGGTGTTACTTCGCTGAAAGGAAATGTCTGAATGATGGCAGTTTAGAAATGCTGCTTGAATTTTATGACTAAAAGAGCAGCAAAACTGAACACTGAAATCTGCTGATCAGACAGATTTAAGTACAGACTATTTCTTTCTTCTTCTGTCTACAAATGACCCCTTAAGCAACTCAAAGCCCCTCTGAAGCAATGTTTCAAATGACAAATACGATCAGTCACAGGTGGGATGTGTATTACCAGAGGGGTTTTATTGTTTTTAACAGGGGGGTGGGTAAGGGGCTTGTACCAGACAGCAGTGTTTAATGCTATTATTCTGGCATACATTAATATGATACTCCATCTTGAAGGATACTCTTTTCCTATCCCCATTTGCTATGCTAAAGGTGCAAAATCCCGTAAAAAAATGAAGCAGTTGCAGTGACTGAGTTTGACATAAACCCACAGTATAAAGAGATGTCAAAGGTCATCTTGACAT